GCTGGAGATCATCCGCGACAGGTCGGCGGTGAAGCTATGGCTGCACTGGCAGGGCTACGCCGACAGAGCTACGTAGGCTCTTCATTGCTAGGAGGGCGCGGGGTGTACCCCAAGACGCCGGTCTTGGTCGTGGCCTACGCGCATCTGACGTTCGACGACGAGGACGGTCAGGCACGCTACTAGGAGGAGTACGGCAGAAGTTCGGCTTGCTGCAGTTGGTGGCGACGACGACGAGGGGGCATCGCCTTCGCCCTGCAGCAAGCTGGGGAGCGGCCTCACTGTGAGGAGCGACCAGCACTGCACGAGGTTGACCGCTACCTCGCCAACACGTGTGAGACCCGCTTGAAGTTCGGCGGTGGACCTGAGTCGCTGGAGTCGGTCGGCTACATGGACGCCGACGACGCCCGCGACAAGCAGAAGAGGACGAGCACGGGAGGCTACGCGTTCGTCTACGGAAGGGCTGCATTCTGGTCAAGCCAGCGCATCAAGTGCGCGACGTTGTCGTCGACCGAGTCCGAGTTTGAGTTCCGTAGCGGCCACGGAAGCCGACAGGAGAGACGCCGCCTTTGATTCCTCCTCGCAGAGTTTCGACAGCTAGACGCTGGGAAGCCAACTGTCCTGCGGGTGGACAACAAGTCGGCCATCGCGGTCGCTGAGGGCATGGGGTTCGCGGGCAACCTCAAGCACATGGAGCGGCGACAGGCCTGGCTGCAGCACATGGTGAAGCGCGGGAAGTTTTCGCTGAGGTACATCCCGGCCACTGAGCAGCCAGCCGATTTCCTGACAAAGGCGCTGCACTACCTGGCCTTCAACCGGGCTCCGTTGCAATCGACCAAGTGCGCCTGGCCTACGTGGGCGACGGCGACGAAGACGTGCAGCAGTAGGTGCCATGCTCTCTTGCATGGCTAGTGCGGTGGACGATGTGTTGTGTGTTGGGTGCAACTTCGACGAGCTATTCTCCAAGGAGTATTGCCGTGTGGGCTTGGGGTCCAAGCCTGAACGCGGCAGAGGAGTGTCAACGAGAGTTTTTGTTTGGCCCCGTCCTTGCTTGGGCGGAGCCGACTTTGTGGTCGGGTGTGAGGGGAGCAGCCGACCTGCAGTAGTGGGCAAGCTGGTTGACAAGGAGGTCGACCTGCACGGGGGCCACTGCACGGGCGCGACTTCAGGGTGGTCGACATGGAAAGTCGACCTACGGAGGGCGACGACTTGGTGACGCCAACTTGGAGAAGCCGACTAGGGTGGTTGGCTGGTAACTGTGCTGGTCGACCAGAAGTGGTGTCGACCGGGACGTTGTGGTCAACGTGGGAGGGGGGCTGACGTTGACCACGACAGAGAAGGCTGGGGATGCCGAGCTGGAGGGCGTCGAGGAGTAGGACGCCGAGTAGCTGAGCGTCGAGCAGCAAAGCGCCTGGTGGAGAGCGCCGAGCATTGGGGATGCCGGGCTTGTGCAGTCGGCGACCGACCGAGGTGGTCAACTAGGCGTGGTCGCTTGGTCGACTAGGATACACGGGTGACGTGCGCAAGTGTCGCCGGGGTGGAGTCTGCGAGGCCGACCTCGAGGGTGGTATCCCGAGGTCGACGTGGCTGGAAGGCGCAGTGGCTGGTGTGGAGCCGCCTGGGCGTCTACGCTGTGCACGTGAGAAAGAAGTGCGCACCAACCAGTTGCGCGCACCTACGACGAAGCAGGTGCACCGTGGTCCTGCGAGTGTGACGCTGTACAGCCGAGTTGCTGCAGCGTTGGCACACCGTGGCTTGCAACGTTGCGGACCGCTACTCTGCAACGTTGGAACAGTGCGAGTGCTGCTACGCTGGAACGCGGTCGACCATGCTGCGCTGGAGGTCGACCAACAGCCTCTGAAGATTTTTTTTCGGTTCAAGAGCAGCTCCTCACCTTCCGCGTCCCATCTGTTCTCCGGCTCCCCCACCGTGACAATCTTGGAGTCCCACAGGGCCCTGAGCGTCGACTTCCATCTAACCCCGCCCTTCATCCAATGTTTCAATGCCGACGGGTGTGCGTAAACCGTTGCCAGGCCGAGAGGGAAACCCGCCGCTTTCTCGCACAGCCAATTTCTCAGTGGGTCCTGCTCCGCTACTGCATTTCCAGGTTTTGAATAACCATGCTATTGATCCTATGCTTTGGGTCAATAACACCTAACCCTCCCTCTTTCCGCTCTCTGCAGGACAGCTCGTAGCTCCACAAGAAGAAGTGTCTGTCGAACAATGACTTGCCGTCTATGATGAAGTTGTGGATCAGACGGTGCACCTTTTTCCATATGTCGTGCGGTGGAGCGTAAATCTGCACTTGGAAAAGTAGAATCGGCATCACGTAACAGTTTATGATGGTGACTCTCACCGAAGTCTTCAGGTTTTTCTATGCCTTCTTCGCCTTCCGGCGACCCCCAGACGTGATCCACACACCAAGCAGCTGCTCTGGTACGTCTTTCGTCGCCCAATTGAAAGGTGAGTCGTCCGGCTGCACTCGTCTCCTGTTAATCCCCAGCGGCATCAGTATCGTTTTCTCACAGTTTATGTTTAACCCCGAGATCGCAGCAAAGTCGTCGAGCAGGGACTTCGCCTTCACCACCTGCTCCTTTCTTGCAGCACTAGTGTACTATTGTCAGCGTAGCCGACATATGCCAACTCCCCAGCCACTCCCCTTTTTCTTACTCCAAGCCCTCTCCTCTCCACCTCCTGGCAGAGTGGCTCGATAATGCAGAGAAACAGGTATGGTGCGAGTGGGCACCCCTGCCGCACTCCCTTGAGCATCTCCACTCGATCCCCCAACCAGCCGTTGAGCAGGAGTCTCATGGCAGCACCATCATGTAGACCCTTCACCCACTTTATAAACTTGTCCGGGAAACCCATGCCCCTCAGTGTCTTGAACAGGTACTCCCGGGACACTGAATCGTACGCCTTTTGAAAGTCCACGAGAAGAAGCAGCCAGTCCTCATCACCTTCCGCCGCTGCGTCAATCACGTCTGCTACCAGTGATACTGCTTCCTTCAAGCTTCTGCAGAGGAGGAAGCCAAACTGGTTCGGGGAGATCACCCGCGGTAAGGCCACTTTAATCCAATTTGCCAGCACCTTCGTGAGCAGCTTGTAGAAGAAACTCAGCAGAGTAATCGGTCGGTAGTTGCTTGATGACTCCTTGTCACCCTTCTTGTGCAGGAGGATTGTGACTGCAGTAGTGAAAGCTTCCGAGAGTTCCGCCGACAGCTCAAACGCCCGTATCTCCTTCAGCACCGCCGACCCTAGCAGGTCCCAGTTTCGCTCAAAAAACTCCTTTGACAGCCCATCCTGCCCGGGAGCCTTTCCTGAGGGGAGCCCTTTGAGCGCCCCTTTACCTCCTGCTCCGTCCAACTCCGACTAAGCTGAGCCCTGTCAAAGTCCCGTACAGTGCACCCCTCCTCTATCAGCCATGGTTCGGTAAGGCTCTGCTGGAGAGGGGCCTCATACGCTTCCTTGAGATATATTGATGCAGCCTTCAGCACCTCTCTCGCGCCTTTATACTGCCGTCCTTTGAAACACAGCTCACTTAGTTCCGTCTTTGCCTTCCTTGATCTGACCAGGCCTAACAGGAAAGGTGAAGGCGTCTCACCCGCTAACTCCATCAACACACCTGACATGACCTGTAGCCGCTCCCTGTTGCTGTCAAGATAGAGCTTCAGCGCTACCTCGTTTTTCACCAGCTCCTCATATACATCTTGCGCCGACGGATCAGCCATTACCCTCCAGTGTAAGTTCTCCACTTTCCTCTCCAGGTGAACAATCGTCGCCCTTACCTACTTTCTCTCCTCCGCCACACATGTGCCCTCATGCCTGCACGCAGATTTGCTAGCAGCCGCTCTAGGCTCTGGTCAGCTCGACCCTCTTGCCCATCCAAGACCGCCGAGATTATATTCCTGGTTCCGTCACCGCTGGCCTGGGGGGCTTGCAATCTCCACAGGCCCGAGCCACTCCCTTCCGACAAAGCCGACTTGAGCGACATCGCCACAGCAAACCAGTGATTTGTCAATCCGTATGGGACCATGGTATGCTTCGCTTCCACAACACACCTGAGAAGAGAGTGTGACACTAGGATCCTGTCTATCTTTGTGCTTGTGTGCGCAGATCTCGAGAAAAAAGTGTACTCCTTATGGCACGGATGAAGAACTCCTACCAGCCGCACACGCTTGACGTCCTGTAGCGCCCCATTGAAGCCGACACATGCTTGACGTCGCCGCTTGGCTCCAAGTCGACGAAGGCCTCCTTTGTCCCCATCAGGTGGTGCGAGCAGCTGCTATTGCGCAGGACCACTGCCTGGTCTGCTCGCATAGCTTCCGCCACCTCGTGGAAGTCCTCGCCGGCCTCCGGCGCCAGCGAGACGGTTGGCTCTAAGATGCTGACCAGCGAGCACGACGCTTGTCATCTGTGGAGGAGTCGGCGTCCTTCGCCAAGGTCGAATTGTTCGCCTGCTTCTCCTTGCGCGGCGTGCTTTTCCGATGTGGACGACGGCTGGCCGACCTCCTGCGACCTCCTTTAGTGTCATCGTCGAAGTCACTGCGTTGTTGCGCAATTGAAGGAGAGGTGGTTGGGGTCGCCGCACAGCCAGCTTTCCCAGCGTCGCCCTCCTCTCCATGACTATTGTCCTTCCCCGCTTCCCCTTCTCGGCGTTCTTGGCCGGCTTCCCACCTCCGCTACCACTGCCGCCAGGCTTGCCGCGCTGCCCCGGTTGGCCACCTTGCTTCGTCGGGGCGACGTAGTTTACCTGCGGCAGAAGGTCTGTGGACTTCTTGGCCTCCTACACTGCCTCTTCCTTGAGGATGTACGAGGTCAGCTGGTCCTCGTTGAGCGACTCCCACGTGCCCAAAACCACCATTACCTGCTTCATCAAGTTGTAGCCGCTCGGGAGGCCCTTGATGATGTGTCTGATGTACAACGGCGTCGAGTACTTAACGCAGGCCATCTGTTGGTGTAAGGGCCTAATAAACTCAAGCTATTAAGACTTATCAAACTTAAAACCTCTCCTCGGGGTCACCTCCAAGGGTCCTTGGGTGCCTGGTACAAGACCAACCCCTATCCTCGGGTCCGAGTTTGTAGAGAGAGGGATCAAGAGGGACTTAGTCAAAACAGCAAGAGTACCTTGAACGTCGCACAGCGTATCGTGCAGACCGTCGACCGGATTAAGCTGAGAATTTCCTATATCAAAGCTCGCTCCAAGAGCTTTAATATATGAACCAAGTTGCCTCGCGAAAAGTTCTGCCATTACGAAGTTATGGCTCGGACAGCGTTTGCCTAGCGTTGGAGTGCAAGCGTACTTGTTGGATGCACGTCATTCTGAGTGCATGTCATCCTAACGTCCTGCCGTGTGCTCGTGCTATTTGTGCTTGCATGATTTGCATGAGCGTATGTCATTGTGCATGGCTGTTGGATATTATCATCTCTGTGTTTTTCTCCAAGTCTAAATGCTTGATCATGCAGGAGAAATCCAGAGTTTTCCAACGACACCAAGATCGCCTTATTCCGACCAAGATCGCCCAAGTTACAAGATTTCCAAGATTTTGATTTCTTATTACCTTTGGGGTTATATCTATTTGGGTGATTACTTGGGACATGAATACAAAGGGATCTTTGTTTGGGTGGTTAGGAAAGGCAACTTTGACTTTTGGATTGGGGTGGCTAGAAGTTTCTAGCATGGGTTGCAAATGGTTGCAACACCTAGGCAAAATCCAACTAGATTGGATTTTGCATGTGACACCTCAAGGACCTCATGATGAGGGTTGCATCCTTGCTGCTGGGAAGGTTCCTACCATCCTTCCCTAGCTCTTGGAGAACCCCTTCTCTCTCATGGTTCTCTTGGAGTCCCCCAACTCCAACTTTCTATGCCCTAATGTTTGTACTATCCTCCACCATTCTAGTTATGCGGCTGCTGGACGTTTTCATATGGTTCTCACTCTATAGAACATCTTAACGACTGATTCAACTTGGAGATGGTAGATACGCCTAAGGCGCAACTTCCTAACGAGCGGATTTGTGTTTAGATGAGTAATGATTTCGTCGTGAGCTCTCAAAGTGACGGATCCTGAACAACAGTACTAGCGTTGACTCGGGTAGCATTCCGGCGTCGCACCGCGTAGAAACGAAATTCCAGGAAGGAAGGAATTCGCTTGAATCAATTTCACTATATCCAGGTACAAACAGAGAAGGAATAAATAGTTCTAGCTAGCAAGGACCTTGGGAATAAAACTGGGAACAACCAGGGATGATCCCAAATAATTCCAAGCAATAGAACCAACCTGGCTGGACAAAACAGCAGGTTGTAGGTTGGTAAACAACCTCTGGTTCTGTTTTTCCAACCTGGGAAAACAACAACCAGGTTCAGGTCCTAAAAAACAAAACCTGTTTTGTCTTTGCCCAACCAGCCAAATGCTGGTTCCGCTGGTTTCCCCTGGCCCTGTAGCAAGCAGATACAGACAAACAACATCCAACCTTCACCTAAATTGTACCCCTATAGTGCCTGCCCTGCTACACTATACTCAACCAAACAAAACAGTACAATTTCGAGTTGGATAGAACTGAATCTGCGTTATCAATTCAACCGAACCGCAAAGCTTCCATCTTGGGTTCCTTTGCAAGCTCGTCCTTTCTGCTTGTACTGTTCATAGCGCGCACAATGTTGTGCCGAAGCGCACAATGCGCGAGTACCTGCAAATGCTTCAATCAAAATTCGCGAAAGAAAACAAACACACGAACATTCCATTCACACCCAAATGCATTCGCACACACATACTCGTACGAACAGACGGCAGGATGTTGTGCAATGTGAATTTGCACCCAACACACTCCCCCTCAGCCTGCGGGCTGCATTCCCATCATTCCATGCTAGTTCATGCTCATTACACTCATGCGCACACAACGCCAATGAGGCTCATCCGCAAGCCTCTTTGTGAGGAAGTCTGTTGGCTGCTGGTGAGTCTTAATGTAGATCGGATTCACCGTCCCCCTCTTCACCTCCTTACGCAGCCAGTGCCACTTGATACGCATGTGCTTGTTCAGCCCATGAAGCACAGCGTTTCTAACCATCCCAAGAGCTCCCTTGCTATCACAGAACAGCGGCATAAGCCTTTTGCTCCTGGCCAATCTCCTCTAACAGCCTCCTCAGCCAAATCACCTCCTTCACCCCATGGAACATCGCCATGTACTCTGATTCCACGGAAGAGAGTGCTGTCTCCGTCTGCTTCTTTGACCTCCAACTAACAGGTCCTCCCCCAACTACGCAGATGTATCCTCCCACAAATGAGGAATCCTCCTTCTCAGAGGCCCACGTAGCATCAGTAAAGCAAGTGAGAAAGAGCTTGCCTTCTCCAAGCCTCTCCCCCTTCTCTTTCAGCACCTCAACCCCTTTCTGCTTCACCTGTGCAGATGTAGAGTATTGAACTCCAATGCTTGGGTGAGAGTTCAGATACTTCACCACACGCTCAGCTGCATCCACGTGCTCCTGTGATGGATTCTGCACCACCCTAGCCAGCTGCCCAACCGAGAAAGAGATGTCGGGCCTTGTGTGAACTGCTGCAAACAAGAGGCTGCCCACCAATGACTAAAATTGCTGCTGCTCCTCGGCTTCAACCCCTTCATCCTCTGCAGATTTCACAAGCTTGAATTCTGCTGGCAGGGGAGTTGCAACTTTGCACTCATTCTCGATCCCGTACTTCTCCCCCAGCTCCTTGATGAACTTCTCCTGGTGCAGCTTCAACCACCTGTGATCTAGATCCGTCTCCACGTGCATCCCGAGGTAGTACTTTACCTCCCCAAGGTTCTTGCACTTGAAGTTCTCCATCAGTTGCTACTGCACATTCTGGATCTCCTTCATGCTGCTGCTAAAGAGAAGAATGTCGTCCACATAGACCAGAAACAGCACTAGCTTCTCCCCCTCCCCCTTGAGAAAGAGGCTCTCATCACAGCTGCTGGTCCTGAATCCCATCTCCTCTAAAACAGCTGCCAACTACTGGTACTAGCAGCGTGGCGCCTGCTTCAAGCCGTAGATGGACTTTTTCAGCTTGCACACCATGCCCGTACCATCCTCATACCCACGTGGCTGCGTCATGTACACATCCTCCTCTAAAATCCCATTGAGGAATGCCATTGATATATCCATCTGAATGATGAATTTCCCACTAACGGCTGAATCTGCCAACAAGATACAGAGGGTAGGGGGTTTGGCAGTGGGAGCAAAGATCTCATTGAAGTCCTTCTTCTCCTTCTGCATAAACCCCTTAGCCACCAGCCTACTCTTGTAGATGGTGACCTGTCCCTTGTCATCGGTCTTGATCCTTAGCACCCACTTGCACTGTACGGCTTTCTTCCCCTCAGGCAGCACCACCAACTCCCATGTCCCATTCTCTAGCAGGCTCTAGTACTCAGCATCCTTGGAAACCAGCCACTTCTCCTTATCCGGTCCAGCTAATGCCTCCTCCATGATAGCTGGTTCCTCTGGTGCAGGGGCAAGAATGTTATAGTCACAGTAGGCTCCAATGTGCCTAAAACGAAAGATAGAGGGCACACTCGGATTTCTGCACAGCGGCTTCAAACGTTCATAGCGATCTGCTCACAACTCCAAATGACTTCAATCAACTTGGATCTGGAGCGCCTTAACGTCGCCTACAATAGGCAATTTAAATCGCACGCTTTCATTAAGAACTGACGACACAGCGTCGGTTTGAACGAACGGCACTATGGCAGCAACATA